AAGGGCACGAGATCTCCTGCCAGAGAGAGACCCCGGGGCTGTGACTCACACCTAGAGAGGGGCACCACGTGGTCACGGGCTGGGTGAGCAGGTGCAGTGGAGGTGGGGCGCCCCAAGCGGCAGCTGATTACGGGGCTGGCGCAGGGACGAGCCCTCCCTGGTCAATTTTACTGTCAGCGATAGGCGCCGAAGTTTAAGCTTCCCCCAGGAGCTGACAGGGTAAAAAGCCAAGTTCCCTGCTCGGAGCAGGGCCGGCTCCCCCACCCCGCACCACGAAGCAGCTTAGCCCTGGGTTGGAGGAGTCACCCACCCCAGGGCCCCACTGACCCCAAAGTGGCTGCTTTGCTGAGACGGGGGGTGCTAGCTCGGGGGGGCGATTTCTGTGAGGCGACATCCACGTGCTGGGTACTGGACTGAACCCCCCAGAACAAGGCACTAAACACAGGGGAGCAACTCAACGGGAAGCAGAGCCCTAGAGGGGAAAGAGCCCGTGGCCCACTCCCCATCCCTGAGCCAGCCACTTCCCCGCCCTAGGGCCAGATGAGAGCCGGCGCCCCCTAGAGGGGAAAGGCCCCATGTCCCATTCTCCACCTCCTGAGCCAGCCAGTCCCCTGCCTTGGGGCCAGATTGGAGCTGGTGCCACCTAGAGGGGAAAGGCCCCATGTCCCCCGAGCCATCCAGTCCCCCTAGACCAGGGGCGGGCAAACCTTTTGGCCTGAGGGCCGCATCGGGTTTCGGAAATTGTATGGAGGGCCGGTTAGGGGAGGGGGTCGTGGCCCAGCCCCCACCTCCCATCTGCCCCCCCGCCCGGGACTCCTGCCCCATCCAACCCCCCTGGACCCTGACGGCCCCCCCCGGGACCCCTGCCCCATCGACCCCTGTCCCATCCACCTCCCCCCCCCGCTCCCTGTCCCCTCACCGCCCCCGGACCCCCGCTGCCCCATCCAACCCCTCCTCTCATTCCTGAAGGCTCCCCTGGGACCCCTGCCCCATCCAACCACCCCTTCTCCCTGTCTCGACTGCCCCCTGCTGCCCCATCCAACCCCCTCTCCTTCCTGACTGCCCCCCGGAACTCCTGCCCCCATTCAACCCCCTATTCCCCTCCCCGACCGCTACCCACTCCCCCGCTCCTGACCACCACCCCAACTCCCCTGCCCTCTATCCAACCCCCTCTGCTCCCTGCCTCCTTACCGTACTGCCTGGAGCACCAGTGGCTGGCAGCACTACAGCCGTGCCGCCCAGCTGGAGCCGGGCCACGCTGCCGCCACGCAGCTCAGAGACTGGGTCAGGCCGGCTCTGCAGCTGTGCTGCCCCAGGAGCTCACAGCCCCACTGCCCAGAGCATTGCGCCAGTGGTGGGGCGAGCTGAGGCTGCGGGGGAGGGGCCGGGGGCTAGCCTCCCGGGCCAGGAGCTCAGGGGCTGGGCAGGACGGTCCCGCGGGCCGGATGTGGCCCGCGGGCCGTAGTTTGCCCACCCCTGCCCTAGACAAGTCTGACCCCCACCCTGGGCCGGGGGCTGCTCTTACTTGCAGGTGTTCTCGCACACGAAGCCGCTGTTGTACTCGTCCGTGGCGTCGCAGCAATCTGAAAGCGAGACAACAGCGGCCGTCATGGCCCCGCCCTGCGCCCCCAGGCGGTCTCAGGCAGAGCGGCCCCCCGGCCCCCGAGCAGGGGCGGCCCAGCTTACCGCAGACGCCGTCGTTGACACGGGAGGAGGGGATGTACTGCGGCCGGTAGCCCGCGTTGGTGCAGTGAAACCGGCCGTTGGGGCAAGCCGAGGTCCCTGAAAGACACACAACAGCCCTGGTGGTTGGCAAGCACAGACCTGCAGCGGGCAGCTGCCCAGTCTCCTCACCCTCCGGGCCGGGCTTCACAGCAGACGCAGCCCGAATCCCGTCTACACCCCCCGCATGGCTAGTGCTCCAGCGAGCGCAGCCTGCCAGCCCAACCAGTCTGCAGCGTGGCTGCAGGGGGCTGACAGGCCTCCAACGCCTTCCCATCCCCCCAGGGCAATTTCTCCCCCAGTTCCCTGGGACAGCACCCACCGAGCGGCTCAGCCACGGGGCGCGCTTAGTGTGGCCTCCGAGTGCAGCGGTAGCGAGGACAGAGCAACGCGAGGCTTATTTCAGCGCGTCGAACGCCAGAAGGGATCACCTGGCCCGTCCTCCTGGCCAGCACAGGCCGGGGACCATCCCCCAGGACTGGACGTGATTTCAGTCACACCCCTCTGGAGGCCAAGCTGTGCCACGGGCAGAGACCAGGAGAGACCAAGGGGCCCCCGGGGCCCCCACGATGGCAGGGAATTGACTAGATGAGACGTGCCGAGCCACGCTTGAGGGGAGCCAACGACACCCCCTCAGTCCCCTCCCCTCCTCCATGCCTCCCATCATGCCCCCCCGCAGCTGCCTCGTGTCCTCTCCCCCCAACTCCCCGCATGTGCCCCCTGCTCTTTCAGGCAGGGGGGGCACGCTGCTGCCTTGCCGGCAGGGGGGCTCGCCAGCCCATCACCCACCTGGCTCGTCCGAGCCATCCTGACAGTCGCAGTAATCATCATTGACCCACTCGAAGGCGATGGTCGAGGACCCGTCCAGGCAGGTGAACGGCTTCGATTCCTCGTAGAAGTGATGGTCTGGGAGGGAGAGAACCGGAGACGTGACAGGGAAGGGGAATCTGTGGAGAGTCACCCACAAGCCCTCCCTCTCGGGGCCTGCGCTCCCTCCAGACCCCACCCAATGGGCCTGGAGGAGCAGTGACCACTAGACCAGCTTTCCTGCCACGCTGCCCAGGCGGCAACTAACCAGGGCTCCCCGAGGCTCGGCACGGGGCTCAGGGTTGCTTCTTGGCTCCAGGCCCATGGCTCCAAGTACTCGGGCAAGCTGTCACCCATCAGCCCCGCCCTCACGGCGCCCGCAGTCAAGGGAGGAGGGGCGGCTCATTAAGAACGCCCCGATTTTAACAAACAGGTTGCAGAGTTTTTACTCTGCCACCCTCACTTGCCAAATAGAAGGCAACTTGACTGCTGCCGTGCCCCAGGCCTCACAGGTGGAGCTGCGGGCTAGTAGTTAGAGTAGGGAGCTGGGAGTCAGGACCCCAGGTTCTCGTCTGAGATCTGAGAAGGGAGTGGTTACAGCGGGGGGGGCTGGGAGTCAGGACTCCTGGGTTCTATTCCCAGCTCTTGGAGAGGCCTGGGGTCTAGTGATTAAAGCAGGGGTGGTAATTCAGGACTCCTGGGCTCTAGTCCTGGCTCTGACCCCGATTTCCCAGAATACCTTGGGGGTAAGCACGCTCCTGCTCTGTGCCTCAGTTTCCCCATCTAGTTAAATACCATCTACCTTGGAGGGGGATTTTGGGGCCCAGAACAGCCATGAAACTCTGAGAGCCGCTAGCCAATGGTGGAGGTGCCTGGGTGGATGCAGCGCTCTCCCCACATAAAGGGGAACTCTGGAGGGAGATGACAAAGGGGCATTTCCTTTAACTAGCCATCCCCCAAGCACTTTTTAAAGGGCCAGGGACCCAATTCAGTATGGGACTGTGTGACCGCCCCTGGTCACTTACTGGTCAAAGAGACACCCCGGGGTCGCTTCACCTCCACGGCGGAGGCCAGGGCGTTCAGTACTGGCAGCAGCAGCGGCAGCAGCATGATCCGCGGGCAGAGGCAGCAGATCCTGGTGGGGAGGGAAGAAAAGGGAGCCAGTGTAGCCGGTTGTTTCCTCTGCACCATTCCCCGGGGGGAGGGGGGGCTCAAATCCTATATAGGCCCCTGTAGGAACATGCCCCTGGACTGCCCAATACCTGCAGAGCCTGCAGCACCCTCCCCAGCTCCTTCCCCACTGAGGGGCCCAGTCCGCAGCCCCATAGCGGCCCCACTCCCGCTGAGGCCCCTATAGACCCAGCTCCTGTCTCTCACCCATGGAGGCCTCTATAGAACTGAGCTCCCCCTCCCCCCCCATCAGGGCCCCTATAGATCCCGCCCCGCACTGCGGCCCCATAGATGCAGCCCAGCCCCATCCATCCCCCAGAGACCCCTACAGCCCCAGCCCCTCCCCCACTGAGGCCCCTATAGAGACCCAGCCCCTCCCTCCCCCACTGAGGCCCCTATAGAGACCCAGC